AGTTCAGACGTGTGCTCTTCCGATCTACTACTCTCATTGTAGATGGACCTTTATAATCTATTATTCTCTTCAAATTCAACTGCAATTGGTCCATTTCTTACGGCTTAAGGCTTACTACATCTATTGTGTTTTAGTATTTAAAGACCGCCAGCCCTGGACAAATTTTTATGCCAGCCAAAGGTCCCGGAGGTAATTGCAGGGTATCAATGTTATCGACTTTTGACATAAATTTGCGATTTATTTGAATAATACATTATTAAGACCATGATTTTTATTATATAAATGCTTTATAAATAAGTATGAATACTTATAATGCTATAATATCAAATATATAATCGCAAAATTACTTTTTTTTTTCCAACTGTTTTACCATCTCTCTGGATAATCAAACACATATGGTAACTATAAAAATGCAGTTTTAAGTAAAATTAACTATTAGCGAGTCATAATACAGATGAATTACAATGTACATACATACATGTCTAAAAAAACATTGATCTAACAATAAATCACTAAATTAATATTATTGATTAATTGCTTAAATTTTTGCAATTACTAAAGCAGCCATGCTAACTCCCGTAAGGGTGTCGGTCTTTAATAATATCTCGTCGGTGCATCAAAATAATGATTTAATTAAAAAAAAAAGTCACACTTTTTAATCCGTCACGATTTATTTTAATGTCATTCTGACGTCATCGTGACCTGTTGGACAAGAAAGAGAAAGAGAGCTTCGACGGGTTTGCCTGCCCTCTTCAATTCTGACACAAAAAAGAGCCCTTTAATATAATTAATGTAAAACCAGATGTTAAATGTAAGATAAATATTCATGGGATTGACTTTGCATAGAGTACACTCGGCTAATCGCTGTCATCGAAGGCGTGTGAAAGGCAGGTGCCGTGAAAGGCGCCTTGATCCTTGATCCATGATTCAACTCATTTGACGCATTTGACGTCCGTCTCGATGCTCATTTCTCCCATATGTTAATAATTTCCCCTGAACTCCCGTTCGCCGCGTAAGTTTCGCACAAGATTAATAGGTGACGACGACTGACCTAAATTTTCAAGTAAATTGCACATTCTCCTGTTGTAGCGATGCGAGAATTCTATTTCTGTAAACGTGTCAGTTGTCCACGAGGTTAGGAGCATGCAACGATTCACATCTGCCGCCTAGGAAGACGTATAACGGTAAATAGAATTCGGCTCTCGAGGGAACTCGAGAATCTTCTTTATTTTAGGATTTTTTAAAATACGTAGCGTTATAAATCTATCTTCCCTTTTTGTATATTTTGTCAGCGTTAAATTATTATTTTCCTTCTTTTTTTTTGGTCGAATATGAGATTTGTTTTGGTATACTATCATTATCATTATAAAGTTATAATACAGAGATATTCAAAAAATATATAAAAAAACAGAGGTGAATACGTTAAAAAGATACATGAATTTTCAGGAGAAGAGATGGCATCCATTTCTACCGAGGCTGATCACGCCGGTGGTGATCAGAGGGAGAACAGTCTGTTATCGTCCATGGAAGACAAGCCCTACGGCTTGATTGACGAAAGGGGCGACCATAAGGAGCGATCAGATAAGCACTCCTTCAAGAGTGCACGAGACGTCACGAGAGAATTGATTGCCAATCTGAGAAGTAATTCTGAATCCACGACACGCTCCTTGATGTCGACGATAGCGACAAGCACGGAGGACAATTTGGACGACGACAGCAAGTCGGAAAGCAGTGAATTCTCTGACGGCGGGAGTATCATGGTTGACGAAGGTAACCGTTGTGCTACGCGTACCTCAATTATTTACCGCAAACACATGTGATAAGAAACCGAGATCTCCTGCGGAGACGGTTTTGTTAGATTAGTTCACCTCGGGCTGAAACTCACTTGAGAAACTCACTTGACAAGCGTGTCTTCAGTTGTGAACAACGCGCTCTTCGAAGCGGCTAATGTGTTGTAGGGTTTCCCAATTATACAAAATCTCTTTTAATCTAATATCGAAATCAGCCATCGCTGCTGTTGTAACGTAGGCTATTGTCTCTGAGTAGTGTTTAAAAAAAAAATGCCAGTGATACAGAAACAATGTAGAAGTAGAAGGAAAATTGTACGATCTCAAGGTATATCATTGTCAATTTTTGAGTTCAAGCCAATCCACTGCTCAGGTGTACATTGGCCGTGTATTTGTAATACAGAGATTACTGGGTCCAATGCAGATTCCAATATCGTGAATAAGGAATGGAACGTCGACGATGCGGTAAACGAAGTGCCGAGAAGGGAGTACGATCCCACTATTGATAAGAGACTGCCAGAAACCGTGACGTTGCTGACCACGCCGGAGGGAGGAAAGCTGTACCTAGTAGGAACGGCGCATTTCAGTGTTGAAAGTCAAAATGACGTGTCAAAAGTAATTAACATATGCATTTAATTGAAATTAAAATTTTTTATTTTTTGTAAAAATTTAATATACAGTAAATCTGTATTGAAAGTAACAACAATTCCCTTCTATTTTTGTCAAAGATTATACAGGCTGTGCAGCCTCACATAGTTGTGGTCGAACTATGCAGAGCCAGAGTTGGTATACTGCAGCTTGACGAGGAAGTTATGTTTGGTTATGCCAAGAGCATCGATTACCGTGAGTTTTTTTTTTTTAATATTTGTTTAACTACTTCAGCTACTTGCGTTGGCATGTTATTACCATTTCATCTTACAGAAACTATTATGGATAAGATTAAGAAGGAGGGAATATACGATGGTTTACTGCACATTTTATTGCTGAGAATGGCAGCTCACGTTGCCAAGCAGCTTGGTATGCCGCCCGGTGGGGAATTCCGGAGGGCATTCGAGGAGGTCGGTACGCACACGGTGGAGACATTTATCTCTACATTAATTCCGCAGTCAATTCATTATGTGACTTCCAGGCGAAGAAAGTGCCAAATTGTATCGTTCATCTGGCCGATCGACCAATCAGCATAACGATGCAGCGTGCGATACGATCGTTATCCTGGTGGCAGACTATAAAGCTAGGTTGGCACCTGGCGTTAATGAAAGATCCCATTACCCCGGAGGACGTCGAGCTCTGTAAGCAACGGGCGATGCTCGACGAAATGATCGCCAGCATGAAGGAGCAATATCCGGTGTTGGGAGAAGTATTCGTGAAGGAGAGGGATATTTACTTGACGAATTCTCTGCAGTTGGCCTGTCACTATAAAATGAGTTACACTTCGGAACCGACGCGTGTCGTGGGAATCGTCGGTTTAGGACACACACCCGGCATCGTCGAGCATTGGGGTAAAGTCAAGCCGTCCGATATACCACCTATAATGAGGTAATTATGTGAAATATTGCGTAATACAGTTGCTATTGTATAAAATATTTTCAAAATGGAAGCGTCTGTAGAGCTATATATTTTTTTTTATCAAGAGTAATAAGGAGGCTAATGAGAGTTCTTGTCTTTTTCAAAAAATAATCGGGGTAATAAAATTACTAATTTTTTGATCATTCCATTTATAGAGTAATTGACTATATCTTATGTTAGTTCTTTGTTTGTTATCACAAGAAGAAGAGACAGAGAAAGAAAGAAAATGGCTCGAAATGGAGCCGAAATCTGAATAATTTAATTAAATTCGTAATTTTTAATAAGAAGAAGATTGCGCACTGAGTACCGCGTACACTCTCGTTAGCTTCTTACCATTTATTCTTGACAATTTCGAGAGTTCAATATTAATTTAATTTTCTTTTTATGATTTGGAAAATTCATCGGCGATTAAGTTTGACTAATTCTAAGAACTCTGTATATTAGATTAATTTATACCAAATCCTTGTGATTAACTTTAAATCTGTTGCCTGTAAAATTTTTTTGCCATTGCAATATATATTGTTCAATATATTGCAAGAATATCTCGTGCTGTTAAATCCGATTATGTGGTAAATAACAATTGCTAGAACCACAAAGGAGTATCGCTCGATATAATGGACGAAATTATATATTACTAATCACAATTTGCCAATCGATCTCTCCATTATACATCAATTTACTAGTCGATCTTTTGCAGAGTACCACCAACATCGTTGTCGAGCAAAATCATGAAGCTCACCATTAAGGCGTCTGTACTTGGCGTTGTAATTTACGTAGGCTACAAAGTAGCCGCGGTACCCGTTGCTGTCACATATCATTCTCTCAAGTCATCGGTACAGGGACTTCTACAGGTTGGTATCGCACGATAGGGTTTGATTCACTCAAGAAAGATCCCACTCTTAATTACAAACGAACTTTTCCCCTTTCACCCCTCACGCTGCTTTTGTCCCAAAGAGTCTCTTGGACTTTTTTTGGGTGCTTTTTGGATAATTTTTTATTAACACGCTACGGTAAGCATGGAGGCGAGTGCTTCCGCCGACGAGTACGAACACGCTGTAGCGAACGTTATGTACGTAGTGAGTAACATACCAGGGCCTGGGATAGACGTGGCGGACTTTGAGGCAGAATACACCGTAGGCTGTGGGTGTGTGCCTGAATGCTCCGATTGCTCGTGTACAGGCGGTTCCGCTAATTATTCTAACGGTCGAATTGTCGACGAGAAATTAATCGGTCCGATAGCCGAATGCCACGCTCGTTGCAAGTGCGAGCCGAACTGCGGTAACAGATTAGTGCAGAACGGCCCGTTGAGGTGTTTGACTGTCAGAGAGGCCGCCGACAAAGGTCTCGGCCTTTTCACGAGTAAGCTAATAAAGAAGCATCAATTTATTTGCGAATACGCCGGCGAGGTGATAGGTCTGCAGGAAGCCCGGCGCAGAATCGAAGCGAATAAACGATGTAACGCGATGAATTACGTTCTCGTGGTGTCGGAACACGCTGGCGATCGTGTTGTCGTCACCTGTATAGATCCGAAGTATTTCGGCAATATCGGGCGCTACGCCAATCACAGCTGTGATCCGAACGCGGTCCTTATCCCGATCAGGGTGGAGGGAATCGTGCCTCGACTGTGCTTGTTCGCGTCGAGAGACGTGGCGATGGGAGAGGAAGTGACTTTTGACTATGCTGGTAGTGCGATGGCCAATTCCGTCCGTTGTCTCAGCGATACTGCCTGTCTTTGTGGTTCCAGCAATTGTCGGCGTTATTTACCGCATAATCGGATTTAATTAGGCGTGAGATTTCCTGCAATATATTGTACAATGTGTATTGCAAAAATTACAACAGATTCGAAGTTAATCACATGGATTTGATATAAGCCAGAAACAAAAATTATAAAACTATGTGTCTTGAAACTTGATATCATATGAGAGAGGAATTCAAATATAGATCAAAATCATTATAAATGTAATAGGCAATAAGTATGGTTTTATGACATATGTAAATATGTGACATACGAATTTAAATTTTAAAGAAATATATAAGTATATCTCTATACCTATATATTATACACATCTCTGAGCGGGCTGGC